TAAGTTTAAAAGTTATGATTCTCCAAAAATTCTTTGGACTAAAGAAGATTGGGGATCTAATATTCCTCCTTCCAAATCTTTCATTGTTTGAAAACTAATGCATAATACGATGGACACTGATGAGATGCTTTAGAATAGAGGTTGTTTAATGGTTTCTATCTATTGTATATGTAAACTTCACATCCATCACCTTCTCTTTAAATATCCCTTTTCTATCAAATTTCAGCTTTGACAAAAAAACAATTAAGGAAAATATACACTTCAATTCTACTGATGATCTTTAGAACTTTTGTTTTAAGGGTAGATCTCCACAATGTGCTTTCACATTACAAACAGACATAGTGTTCCTCGTCAATGCAATTTGGAATGCTAAGAATTTTTTAATTATTAAAAAATCAAGTGATTCCTTTTAACTCTATTTTCTTGGAAAATCTTGGCACAAGTAAATATACTTTAACTTTTAGAACTTTTTAAAATAGATATACATGCCACTAGAAGTGGGGTTGAGTAATGACCCATTTAAAATTTTCCTTTTAATTGCTGAAATAAACTTTATCAAAATAAATTGTAAATTGAATCAATATTATAATATAAATGTTATAGTGTGTGTAATATGTGTATAAATAAATAAACTTTAAAGAGAAGAGTTTAAAAAGGATCACATAGAAATTTATTCTAGTTCATCAAAATTGGCTACTTTAGTCCTCATAGTTAATGAGACTTTCTAATTAATAATCAATAGTTTTTGATCATTTTCTTACTCCAATATGTATTTTCTTTAGCCTCACTAAACTGACAATGTTTATTACGAAGTTTTAACAAGCTTACAATATCATACAAGTTAAAAGTAACTCGATGATATAAAAAAAGATATGATAAATTTGGTTTTAGTATCAGATTTACAATTTCATGAATAAATAAATATTCAGAAGATGTGATTTTAAGAAAATATTCTTCTCAATCTTGATTCTTGATTCTAAGAGAATGATTTTTTTTAATAAAAGAAAAATATATTAATTCAAAAAAAAAAAACTATACAAACAAGGTGGTCAAAATAGGATTCAACCATTAAAAGAGAGTAACTTTACATCATTGAACTAGCTAAGTGGCACCTAATTTTTTACTTTGCCACCCTCTATAAACCATATTGTCTATAATAGTTGAAACTATACTTGTATTATCCACACTATTACCAAAAACTATATCATTTCTATACCTCCATATACCATAAATGGTTTCAGTAATTAACATCTTCATGAGGTCTACTTTCCAGCCTTTATTTCTAGTGTAGCCACTAACCCACATCAGTTCATCAGTCCAACACTTGGGATCATGGCTTATATCCATCTAATGTAAAGCTTCCTTCCAAATAGGTCTTGTTATGCAGTAACAGAAAAACAGATGATCATGACTTCCTTCTTCATCATGGCATAAGTTGCATCTGGTATCTTGAACAAGCCCAAACCTATACAATATATCCTTGATCACAAGTCTTCCATGACAAGTAAGCCATAAGAATTTCACTACTCTAGGCCTTGCTTTGTTGCAAAGAATGAGATTTCTCCAAGGCACCCTTTGGTCATCATCTATAAGAATCTTGTAAAACTTGACATCTTTGAATTGCTGCTTGCGCAGAGCTTTATTCCATTCTTCCTGCAACATCACCACTTTTTCTCTTTGATTCATAATAGCTTGTATCACCCAAGAGTTGTGTGGCTTAGTCACATAGTCCATAACTTGGTCACCTTTAAGGTAGTATGTGTGAATCCATTTCACCTACATATTATCAGTCTTGCTACATGGGTTCCACAGGAACTTTAGCAAGAGGACCTCATTCCACACATTAAGGTTGAACAACTGTAACCTTCCTTAACTAATAGGGCAACAAACCTTCTTCCAAGCCACAAGGCTTTTCTTGCTCAGGCTATCTTTACCTGTCAAAACAAAACTTCTACAAATAAAGTATATCTTCTTAATCACAACATCAGGAATAGGGAGACAATGCATCTAGTATTGGGTTATAGACCAGGCAATGCTCTTTACCAATTGCAACCTACCTACATAACTAAGAAGCTTTGAAGACCAGTGATGAATATGGGCCACAATCTTGTCTATCAAAGGCATGTAGTGGTTGATTGTCAATATCTTGCTTGATAGAGGAACTCCAAGGTATTTGAAAGGGAGAGTACCTTCTTGAAAGCCAAACTTATTCCTCAGAACCTCTTTGTGATCCCTATCCATCCCTCCAAAATATATCTTACATTTACTAGCATTCAGAACCAGACCCATGGACAAAGAAAAGATCTTTAAGGTTTTCAACATCATTTACATATAGATAATATCACCTCTGAAGAAAAGAAGGACATCATATGAAAATGTGAGATTGGTAAGCTTCACACTTTCACACTTGGCATAGTAGTTGAAATTAGGGTCTTTTTGCATCTTGCACATCAGTCTATTCATATACTCCATGATGAGGACACATATTAAAGGTGATATAGGATCACCTTGTCTAATGCCTCTTTTGGCTTGCAGAAAATTAGAGTACCCACCCATCACATTGAACCTGTAATTCAAAGTAGTGACACTAGTCATGACCCAATGGATAAACCTTCTAGGAATACCAATCTCCTTCATGATACATTCCAAAGCCCCCTAATTGACCATATCATAGGCCTTCTGAAGGTCAATTTGCAACATGATTCTAGGAGTTCCACCTTTCCTAGTGTACCCTTTAATGAGTTCATAGGCCAGTAAGATATGGTTGTAGATATTCTGGCATGGCACAAAAGCTGCCTGACTATGACTAATCACATTATTCAGCACTTTCCCCAGCCTATCAGTCATTATCTTTGAGATGATTTTGTAAAATATTGTACAGACTGTTATAGGCCTATAGTCCTTTATCTCACTAACACTGTTACTTTTAGGGATCAGAGAGACCACAGTGCTATTAAAAGCTTTATAGATTTTACCTGTCTCAAAGTACTCATTGGCAGCATCAATCACATTAGATTTAATAGTACTCCAGCTGGCTTTAAAAAACTTTTCCCCAAATCCATCAAGGCCAGGAGCCTTCAAGTCTCCTATACCTTTCAAAACATTGGTAATATCTTTCTCAACAATGCCTTTGACAAGATATTCTCTTTGCTCTATGTCTAGTTGCCTGCCCATCCTCACGGCCTCAAGGTTAATATGGTTAATGTTAGTGTTAGCTTTACCCATTAATTCATCATAGAAATCCAACATTTCTTTTTCAATGTCCTTTTGATTATGAATTATAGTGTCATCCCTCTTTTTTAAGTTGCTCAGGCAATTGGAGTGCTGCTTGGCTTTAATAGAGGCATAGGAATAAGAGTTATTACCATCTCCTTTTCTAAGCCATTCTATTTTAGATCTTTGATGCAGAATCTTCTCTTCAAGATCATTAAGAGACACTCATTCCTCTGTCAGCTCCTTTACCTTGCCAATAATAGCTTTGTTCATTCTATTGTCACACAAATCCTACTGTGCTTGTTTGAGGTTACCTCTAGCAATTAGCAGCTTTTGCTTCACATCAGATAGGGGCCTGCTAAAACTTTTCAAATCCTGCTTCAATCTTTTGAGTTTTTGCCAAAGGACAAACATAGAACTTCCCCTTATAGGCACCTCCAAACTTTTCTTGGCCATTTCATCATAGCTAGTGAGATCAACCAAATAGTTACTAAATTTAAAGAGCTTTTTTACCTTCCTAGTCTTTTTCTTAGACACCAGGTACAATAAAGCATGATTAGAGATATCATGAGGGAGGATCTTTAACATGGTCTCCATATTGTTTTGATACCATTCAGTGTTGGCCAGAACATGATCAATTCTGGTGTAGATGGTACCCTCCACATGTTTGTTTGACCAAGTAAAGTAGTCTCCTGTACTATCCATCTCATTTAAACCAGTGACTTCCATCATTCTTTGTAAGTCTTCAAATTCCCTTTCAGTGACCAGATTTCCACCAACACGATCTTGTGCTCTAAAAACATTATTATAGTCTCCTATCACACACCAGGGGCCTTGGGGATTACGATAAAGGTGCTCAATCTCTTTTCACAAATCCCTCCTTTTGTCCAATTGGTTATGAGCATAAATTGCAGTAAGCCAATACATGAAATCACCTTTATTGTCATAAACACCACAAGGGATAGATTAACTACTACTTTGCACAAATTTCACATCCAAAATATTACTATCCCAGTGAATCTAGATCTTCCCATTAGCATGATCGTTGTAATTATCCAATTGCTTATCATAAATTTGCAACTTGTCTCTGATTGACTTGGCTTTAGCTTCTTTCACTCTAGTTTCTAGCAGTACAATGATAGTAGGTTTAAGCTCACGGAGATAGGACCTAATCTCACAAATTTTACCTACTTTGTTAAGTCCCCTTATGTTCCATGAGACTAACATGGAGCAACGTTTGATAGCACAAGAGGGTCATTCAAAACCTCAAGTGCCTCAAATCCATTGCTACAACTGATATTACTAGAAGATCCAATTAGGGTACTCTTACCTTTGTCTCATGTTGGATTTCTTGCCCTTGACCATATCTCTCCATCTTCATCCTTGTGTTCCTCTTCTGCAGGCTACTTGATGGGTGTTGTTACTTTGTTCACTTCAGGGGGTTTGGGTTTTGGCCTCCACTTCTGGACTTTTGTTCGATCACCACATTTATGCCTAACTTTTGACATTTATCACAGAAGGTTGGCCTCCATTCATATTCCACATGTTGCATTATCATCCCTCCTGCATAATTTCTGATGGCAATTTCCTTGACCAAATCTTGCGTTATGTCCACTTCAACCAGAATGCACGCATATGACACACGAAGCTTGCTCGCCGTACATTCATCACTCACAATGGGGGGGGGGGGGGGGGGGTACCAAGTGCACTCCCAATATTGCTAAGGCTTTTTTCTCCCCAAAGATGGAGAGGGAGTTATGGCAACTTGATCCAAATTGGCAGTGTTCTTAGTAGGTATTTTTTAGGTTGAATTTTGGCCTCCACTCTTTCAAAATCATTGGAATGTTTCTGATCGTGTATGGACCTTTCATCATCACTGCATCCCTATCTTCATGATTGTTGAATCTTTCCAGAAAGTAACCTTCATCATGGTAGTATAGACCCAATAGCTTTACGAAATTCCATATCTTCAATATAAAATTCTTTATAATGTTCATACACAGTTCCTCACCCACCACATACAAAATTAAGGCATTGTCCCAAATTTGTGGTTCTGTTTTTGTGTCTTCTTGATAAATTTCAACTTCAACTACTCCATTCATCAGTTTTGGCGCAACATACTCCATTTCAAGTCCTTTCGCAGGGTTCTGATTATCACTAAGAACATCCACCCATAGCTTTCGTTCCCCCGACGCCGATTTCTCTTCTTCTGTTAGGGTTTCTTCGCTCTTGGATTCCCCCTTACACTCCTGATTATTGACAACCTCTTCAACTGGTTTCGTTGTTCTAGTTAGCTCTTCCCCCTGAATCTCCTAAGCATCTTGAAATTCTGGTGGCGGTGGCACCGTGGATTTCAGCCTCCCACGCCTCTGTTTCTTCATCGGAGCGAGAGAGAAACATAACTCAAAAACTCTTTTTTTAACATTAAGAGAATGATTTTAGAAGAGAATGATTTAAAAATGATATGAGAGTTTTTATTTCACTAAAAATTGCTTTGAATGGTTGGGTAAGACATGAAGAGTATTAGATTTTCACTTCTTAAACAAAGGGTTATTTGAGGATTTGATTTTATGACAAGTGCTCTTAGAAATGATGATTCCAAGAATACAATTTTAGTGGAAATGATGAATGATGATTTTTTTCTTGAGATTTTCATGGAATGAAGTGATGCTATGAATATTGGATGAAACTCTAGTATTGTCGACAGAGGTTTAGCATGTCGTCGAAGTTTGCTCACATGTTGTTGTCGAAGACCTACATACTGTAGTCAAAATATGGTCTAGTATGTAGTTGTCAAATTGGACCTGTTTGTTATATCCAATTGTTTAAGTTAGCTTGTACTCTAAGTTAGCTTGTAATAGATAATTGTTAACAAGTCCATTAGTTTAGTATGTTAGATTTTATTATAAATAGCATACTAGTCTCTCATTTTAAGTGTGGTGTGGAAAATCCTAATTAGAGTGAGAGGGTTATTTATTATTCTTGAGTACTTGTAATTTGATTCAAAGAGAAAGTAAAGAATAGCAGTTATAACCAATCCTTGTTATTCTTCTTGTCTTTTTTTCGTTAACCCGAACCCTTGTGTGTTTCTTGATTATAAAGAAACCATTTATACTTTGTTTCAAGGTATCATTTTTCACAATAAATTGGTGCAGTGAGCATGGAGGAAGATGCCTTCAATAAAGTATGAGATTGAAAAGTTCACCGAAGTGAACGATTTTGGTCTGTGGCGCTTGAAGATGAAAGCCCTACTAGTTCAACAGCGATGATTGGAAGCGTTGAAGGGAGAGGCAACCATGGACGATGCGTTGACGGAAATAGAGAAATCCCACAATGCAATATTGTTGAGCCTTGGTGATAAGGTTCTCCGACAGGTATCAAAGGAGACATATCGGGGTTATGGTTAAAACTTGAAAGTTTGTACATGACCAAATATATGATGAATCGACTCTACCTGAAGCAAGCTTTATATTCACTCAAGATGAGTGAAGACAAGGTGTTGGCTGAGCAGTTGGATATGTTCAATAAGCTGATTCTTGATCTTGAAAATATTGATGTGAAGATCGATGATGAAGATCAAACCCTGTTACTGTTGTGCGCTTTTCACAGATCATATGCTCACTTCAAAGAAACTCTCCTGTATGGAAGGGAGTTCCTGAGCTTTGAAGAAATTCAATTAGCCTTGTACTATAAGGACTTGAATGAATGAAAAGAGCATAAACCTTCAACGATTGGTGAAGGTTTGGCCGTTAGGGGAAAATTCTTACGAAAGGATGGTAAGTTCGACAAGAAGAAAGGCAAAAGTCAACAAAAGTCTTATAGTGGCGAGGCATCTGGTATTCGATGTTATCACTGTAAGAAGGAGGGTCACACAAGAAAGGTATGCCCTGAGTGCCTGAAAGATCATAGAGGTAAGGATAATGGCAATGCAGCCATTGTTCAAGATAACCTGATGTCCTTGCGGTTTCAAGCAGCGAATCAAGAAAATAGTGGATTATGGATTCAGGTTGCACTTGGCACATAACTCCAAACAAAGACGTGTTTGAGGAATTGTATGATCAAGATGGTGGATCAGTGCTACTGGGAAACAATAAAGCTTGCAAAATTGTAGGTGTTAGATCTATGAGATTCAAGCTCCATGTTGAGTCAATAAGGCTATTGACTGAAGTCAGGTATGTACCTGACTTGAAGATAAATTTGATTTCTCTTGGTGAATTCGACAGAAAGGGATATGTTTTTTAAGGAGTGAAAAGTATCCTAAGAGTCATGAAGGGGTCAAAGGAAGTCTTGAGAGGTGTGAAGAAACATGGCTTGTATACCCTTGAGGATGAAGTTGTATGTGGTTCGACAAATATTGCATCCACGAAACCTTTATCGAAGATAGAAATTTGGCACATGAGATTGGGCCATGTCAGTGAAAGGGGTCTGGTCAAATTGGGGAAACAAAATCTTCTTGGTGGAGACAAAGTCGAAAAGATGAAGTTTTGTGAACCCTGTGTACTTGGAAAAACATGAAGAGTGAAGTTTAACAAAGGCATACAAAGAACACATGGATCCCTTGATTAAGTCCATGTTGGTCTTTGGGGGCCTGCAAGGTGCCCATCATATTCAGGAACGATGTATTTTCTATCCATAGTTGATGATTATTCCAGAAAGTTATGGGTATTCACCCAGAATACTAAGGATGAAACTTTTGAGAATTTTAAAGGTCGGAAGACTTTGGTCGAAAATCAGGCTGACAAAAATGTTAAGAGGTTGAGAACCGACAATGGCCTTGAATTTTGCAATGAGGCGTTCGACAGCTTTTGTGTTGCCTTAGGTATTGCAAGGTACAAAACCATTACAGGTACTCCACAACAAAATGGTTTGGTGAAAAGGTTTAATTGAACTATTTTGGAAAGAGTTAGATGCATGTTGACTAGTGTTGGGATAAAGAAGGTGTTTTGGGTTGAGGTTGTTTCGACAACAACATATCTGATAAATAGATATCCTTCAACTGCGTTAGATATGAAAACTCCTGAAGAAGTTTGGTCGGGACATCCACCAGATCTCGACAAACTGAGAGTATTTGGCTGCATGGCCTATGCTCACATTAGGCAAGACAAGGTTGAACCTAGAACTCTGAAATGCATGTTCATGGGATACTGTTGCACCCCAAAATTTGCTCAAGCTTTTCTTGCCTGATTTATATTTCATTGCTTTTCATTTGCATAGTTACATCATGTACATAGTTCAATCATTGGCATATCATAGCATAGCATGCATCCAATAAGGGATCAAGGGTGTCTATCAAGAGAAGAGCCTAGCAAGAGGTGTTATCCAAGTTTGAGAAATCATCCAAGCCATCAGGAAGTGATTGGAAATCTTGAGAAGTTTGAGTGCCTACATGTGGGTTTTGCTCCTATCTTGAGGAATGTTGAGAATCATCAGTGGGATGAGAAGCATGGAATGTGAATGTGAGGTGTGTATGGATCTCATGGGATGCCTAGAGGGCCCTATTGAAGCTGAGGCAAGTCATTAATTCAAGTATGAGAGCCACAATTGAGGTGCAGTCAACTAGGGTTTCATCTGGGTCAACCCTAATTCAATTGAGTAGTTGGAGAGCATCAAAGCCTACCTTGAGGTCATGGGATGCATGGATTGGCATGTTGATACATGTGTGGTGTTGTGCCAAGGTTAAGCAAGGATAAATCAAGAATGTGGGAAGTTGCTAAATTAGGGTTTCAGTGTAAAATCCCCTGTTTAGTGCCCAACTTCAAGGCCACATAAGTCAAAATACAAGTTTCAAGTGGATTCTTGGCCAACATGAAACATGTAGAGCTTCTCAATAAATTTAATTTGAGTACTAGAAGTCTTCAAGAAGATTTGTAGAACTCAAGTTATGGTCTTTGCAAGTTACAGGTCACCAGAGGACACTGAAATTTTCTGTGAAAGTCACTTGACTCCCAAGCAACGTTTTCCCTTCAAGGAGTTTTCAAATGGATTCTTGGCCAACATAAGAGTTGTAGATATTGATCTTAGCTTTCCATAGAGTACTAGAAGTCCTCAAGGGGATTTGTAGAACTCAAGTTATGATCTTGGCAATCCAGGGGTATTTTGGGTATTGGTGATTATAGGTCATTCTCAAGCATGGGTCCAAATCTCCAACTTAGAGACCTCAAATGGAAAGTTGTTCAACTAGAAATTTGCTCAAAATAGGGTTTTAACCTTGACTATGCATCAAGGAGGGTTTGAATTGGCTCATAGGAGAAGTTGGTTTGAAAATGGTTTTGAAATGAAGGAGTTAAAGTGATTAAAAGGCCAAAATTGTGATTTCTTGATTTTATGGCCAAACAAGTCCATGTTACATACCAATTTGATCAGAAAATATGTTTTGGGAAGGATGGCAATATCACATTTTGGATTTGAGGTCATTTTCACATGGTTTCACTTTGTTACTTAAGGTTGAAGAAACATAACCATCCATTGCCTTAAGATCAAATACAAGGGAATTACCATCCCAATTCAGTTCTAAATATCATGAGGAGAGAAATTCCAATGCGATGGTGAGCTAGAACAGAGCAAGGCATGGTTTTGGCATGTGAGATTTTCAAAGGAAATGAGATTTTCAATTTCTCATTCAGGTTGTTCCAGAAGGTTCTAGAGTGTTCTAACACACTCTATATATTGTATGCAACTGATTCAGATAGTTTTTTGGGCTTGCATTGGAGAGAATCAAGAGATAGCATTTGAATTTTCTCAACTTCATCTCAGAATCGGGTTTGCAGATAGAGGGAGTTCCAAGGCAAATTGTCCATTGGAGGAGCTTTAGAAGTGATCCTTGAGTGATTCTGCAAGAGATTGGAGGTTGAATCGTGCCATAACCTCATCTGTTCATCCACTTTCAACAGGTTTGCATTCTTCAAATTTTAGCATAATTGGTAGTGAATTGATCAGCATTTGATGCATGATTAGGTTAGTGTTGATGTGAGGGTGGATTTCAGTGCAAAAGATTAGGAATTAGAGACCAAATTAGGGTGATGCCATTTTCTGTTGAAGCTCATATCTACTAGTTCTTGAGGTTTTAATGGCTTTCAAATGGTTAGAATTGATGACTGAAACATGTGGATGAGTTTAGGATCTTTAA